CACCCCAACCACCCCAGAGCCCACCACCATTCCAACCACCCCAGAGCCCATCACCACCCCAACCACTCCAGAGCCCACCACCTCTCCAACCACCCCGGCGCCCACCACCCCCCCAACCACGCCGGAGCCCACCACATTCCTAACTCCTACAGAATCCATCTCATTGCCTATGACCGCAGAATCCACAAGCTTCTCTGAACCTGGCAATCTCCTGAATGTCAGAGCGATGGCTCCAGGGAGTTTGGACAGCTCCAGAAATGACCCTTTCCTTGGCTCTGACTTGTGTTGCCTCCTCCCCCTGGGCTTCTATGTGTTGGGTCTTCTCTGGCTCCTGTTTGCCTCTGTGATCCTCATCCTGCTGTTGATTCAGCTGCAGCACGTGAGACCCCAAACCGCAGCTGTACGCACCACACACCTGGAGCTGCAAAGGGGCAGGCAGGTGACTGTGCCCCGGGCTTGGCTGCTCTTTCTCCAAGGGTCCCTCCCCACTTTCCGCTCCAGTCTCTTCCTCTGGGTAAGGTCCAATGGCCGTGTGGGTCCTCTAGTGGCAAGACGGTGGCCCTCAGCCCTGAGTCTAGGTCGTGGGCAAGATCTGCTGGGCACAGTGGGTATCAGGTACTCTGGCCACAGCCTTTGAGGACAGGGGTGGAGAGGGTGGGGTGTTTGGGGACCTTGAGAGAGGCCCTGATGGGCTTTTCTATGCATAGGGAGGGATCTAGCTGTGGGTGGGTGGGTCAGAAGGGCTTAATTACTTTTTTATCGAAAGGCTCCTCTTCATACCACAGGCACATGGCTCAGATGCAGTAAACCAGGAATCGAGAGATCCAGACAGTGTTGAGTGGGCCAGAGGCTGTGTTATTGTGGGGACGGAGGGGGGCCTTAGACTACATGACTATCACCCCTTTAGGGAGGCATTTCAGGAAATAAGCACCCCCCACCCCCCACTATGTTCATGTGCAGAGACTCATCAAGATGGGAGTACTGGTTATCTCCGAGGCATCAGTGGGGTTTGTTTTTACCTTCTGCTTAGCGTTTCTGAGTTGTCCGTCATCGTGGTATCATGCTAGTGTAATAAAGCAGTAACGTTTGAGTTTTCTCCTGAAGAGGCAGAGTGGCTGAGGTCCCAGTCACGAGCATTCCCAAAGCCCCAATTGCCCCAGCTCTGTACTACGTATTCAACCCCCCCAACACACACACCCCTGCGTCTTAGCCTGCACTTCCCTGCCTGGGGGCTGTCATCTCCCACACCTGCCACCTGCCTCCCCTCTCCTCCAGGGTGATGCCCACCCTCCCTCCTCAAGTGGCCCTGCTGAGGCCTATGCCTGGGATAGAGTTATGAGGGAAAGCGGGGGCGACTGACATCGGTAGCCCCAGAACTACGCTTGTATCACACATTGACTGTGTACTCCATCTTGGGGGAGGGAGTGTCATTTTTTTAAAACTTTCATTTTAAGCTTAATTTACTCTTGAACTGTATAAGTTTTTGCTTCTTCAGTTTCTTCTGGCAGATCTTTGGTTTCGGAACAATGTGTTCCTCTTCACTAAGGAGCATTTCAGTGTGGCAGCGGGAGCTCACGGGTGGGTTGATCCAACCATGAGCTCTGTAAGGCCGCGGTGCATCTTGGGGGCTTTGTTCACCTGGATGTGCTCAATGACCACATCGAATCCCTTAGGTCCAGCATGACTCTGCAGTTTTAAGCATTTGCAGCAAAAATTCCACACTTTTTTTGAGGCAGCGATCCTGTCTGGTCTGGGTTTGCCTACCAGCTGCACCATTGTATCATCAGAACACAGTGTTTCTGCAAGGACGTCTTTCAAATGTTTGGTGGCTTTCCGATATGCAGACCCTTGAGGGCCTGAGCAGTTTCAAAATGGACCTGGAGAGTCGACCCTCTTGATTTGCATGATTTGGTGGGGTTTTCTACTGAGGGAATCCTGGTGGGGTTGACAGAAGGATCCTAGGCTTCCTGCTGAGGCTGGGATGCAGGCAAATGGAAACAGGCATTCCCAGTGCCAGGCCGAGCCTTGCCCTG